ATCCTCACACACACCGCTCACCACCCTACACCCCCTTCAGCTCACACATCCGCCTCACCGCCCTACACCCCTCACATGTCCCCTTCGCTCCCTTACGCAGGCCCCTCACTGCCCTACCCCCCCACCCCACTACATTGCCCTGTCGCACGTCCCTCCAACACAAACACACCCATCACAAACACAACACAAACACAACCGCACACCCCATGGCCTGTTACACCCCTCCCCTCCGTGCACACTGCACTGCTGCTGTGAGGAGGAGGGGTGGGGGGTGGCTGCAGCCGGGGCCTGGTGTGGTTCTCCTTAGAAATTAATTAATGACAGGCCCTTGTGACTGCGTGTGTGTTTGTGCGTTGCTGGTCGTATGTATGACACACTGCCCTGTGTGTGTGCGGTGCTGCGTGTGTCTGGGTGGTACCATGGACGGGCATGCGGGTTCGGTGCCATGGGTGAGTGTGTGCGTGGGGTTGTGTGTGGTGTTTGTGTGTCTGTGCGGTGCTATGTGATTATGTGTCTGTGCGGTGCTGCGTGTGTGGGGTGTGTGTGTGGGGCGTGTGCTTGTGGGTCTGTGCGGTGCTGCATGTGTGTGGGGTGTATGCTTGTGGGTCTGTGTGGTGCTGCGTGTGTGAAGTGCTTTTATCTGTGTGGCGCTGTGTGTGTGTGGTATGCTTGTGGGTCTGTGCGGTGCTGCGTCTCTGTGTGATGCTCTGTGTGTAGTGCTGGGTGCTCTGTGTGTGTAGTGCTGGGTGCTTCTGTGTCTGTTCGGTGCTGCGCGTGTGTGGGGTGTGCTTATGGGTCTGTGCGTGTGGTGCTGCGTGCTTGTGTGTCGGCAGTGCCGGTGTGTGCGTGTCCGTGGGGTGTCAAGTGTGATTGAGTGTATGCAGGGCCGTGTGTGGTGCTGTGCGCTTGTGTCTGTTCGGTGCTGCGTGTGGGTGCGTCTGTGGGGTGCTGGTTGTGTGTGTGGGATGGGCAATGGAGGGGGCAAGTTTGTGTTTGTGCATACTGCGCTCGTGGGCCTCAGGGCCAGCAAATGGGGCCAGGAAGCAGAACATGGAGGGGGTCCGGGTCTGGGGTGAAGACAAGGCCGAGGACTGGGGAGGAGTCCAGGGGGGGGACCAGGGCCTGGTCTGGGTGGATGTGGGATGGGCCAGAGGGTGCCAGGAGCTGCATGGGGGGTGGGGGATTGAAGAACAAGTGGGGGGGGGGTCTTATGGGACCGGTCTGGTGGGGGTGGCGTATGGGACTGGTGGGGTGGGGTATATGGCTCCAATCCGAGGAGCAGGGGCGTTTGGGCCTGTACGACTCCTACTCGCCCCCCCCCCCAGTGTGCATGTGTGTGTGGGGTGTTCTTCTGAGGACAGGTGGGGTGTGCCCCTGTTTGTGTGGATGATATGTGTGGGGGGGGTGTCAGAGAGAGGGGGGTTGTCTCCCTTCCCCAGCACCCCCGGGTCAAGACACGGCTCCGGGCTGCTGGTGGCTGATCCGAGCAAGGCAAGCCGTGTGTGTGTGTGTGTGTGTGTGTGTGTGTGTGTGTGTGTGTTCTTTCG